TTAAACAAAAAATAAAAAGAAAAACTGTAAGGGATTCTCATAATCCCAAACTTCCTTTTTATTATGTGCAGTTAAAATAGTATATCCCAAATTAACATTGAAATTCTTAAATTGCAATAATCGAAAACGTAGATTTATGAAACAATGAGTATATCCCAATATATTGTTAGATTCGAATATCCCATCAATTTTATAATTATTAAACATCCTAAATGGTTAGTTTTAACATATCAGGTTTAAAAAAAAATAAGGACATAAAATTTTTAGGAACCTCAAATTCCTAACATTCATTTTTACTATTAAAAAAGTCATATTATTAATAGATAAGGATGTATATTATTGAAATATTTTTTATAACTACCAAAAATGAAAAAAAAAAAAAATCAAGTCTTGAGATATTCTTGAGTTATAATCTTATTTCACCAAAATAGGCAAAAAAAATAAAATCAAGTAATAGTTGACAATGTACTTTTGCTATCGCAAAGTTCAAATCCATTATCATGGGAAGACGAAAGTGTTGGAGTATCTTACCGATTTTCCAACATTTTATTTTGACTTAAACGTAATTTTGCTACCCCACAAGATGTTGATAATTGTTTGTCTCATTTTTGTTGCGTTTTTTGTTGTCTTTTTGTCTTTTTTTCCCCCATATTGAGTCTTTTCGTTGGGTTTTATTCGTTTTTGTAGTTTATTGCGTGTTTTGATCTATTTCGGTTTTTTCTTGTGTTTCCGTGTGTTTTTCCAGTTTTTCTTTGTTTATGATGTGTAGGTCTGAAGCTTCGGGAGGACCTAATTATGGGCAAAAGCTTATTGTGCAAGCATAATTAAATAAAGGAGTTCGTTGGCAACACACAGGAAAAAGTGGAATCGAATTCCGAGTCCAAATGAGCCCGAACGAGCCCAAACCGTGAAATCGTGCAAGGCTGTCGGGCCTTAGCGCCGCTAGCACCTTAGCCGCTAAGGCGTGCCCAGGCTAGTGGCGCTATCAGTGAAGCGCACCCATAACGACGGCCAGACGCCCAAGCCCCGCGACCCTTAGCGCCGCTAAGGCCTGGTCGCGGGGGCAGAATTGTTTTTTTTTTCGTTCTCTCTCGGTTTTGCTCGGTTTTTCTAACCATATAAATGAGAACTTGTCCGAGACTCGAG